TATTTAAGTAAATATTTCTTCAGCATTGCTTTTCTATGCGTCTGATAATGTAGCATGTATAATAATAATATTTTTTTAACATAAATGTTAGAGTACAGCATTATTAGTAACATCTTCTGCATCCACATAAGCTGTAAAAAAAAAAAAAAAAAAAAAAATCAATGTATGGCTGTGTCCGAGCATCCACTTTTTTATATGAATGTCCGCATGTCTAGTAGTGGAAAAAATAGTGGACTCAAAATTTCCTAAAATGCACCTGAAAGTGTGCAACCATGGTCACTAGATGAGGAGATATGTCTCCGAATGCTTTTGAAGAGCTCTCCTCACAAGGCATCATGGGATTTGTTTTGGGGGAGAGAGAACAAAGAGGCAGGCACCTGCTGGGAGCTGAGGTCCCGTGACCAATGGAAAACAAAAAGTAGTGATCATCTCTGAAGAGTCAGTTAACCGATATTAGAGTCAAATATGTGTATTTTTGTTTGTTTTCTTTTTTTGGGGGGGTTCACTAGATGGGGCTCTCCCCTCCAATATACACCGTAAATCCTCTAATATTGGCCTGTATTCCATTAGCATTCAGGTCTCTAACAACAGCCAGTCTCGCTGTCGGCAGAGAACCAAGGATGTTCCTGGGCAGTTCTCAACAACTGGTGATAGTAACATACAAGTACCACAGGGGGGCAATATTTTCTAACGAATCCAATCCATTAGCATGGGAAGTCCCATCTTTACACAGAGATCGTAGTGGCCTTACTTAATCATTCTGATCTGAAAGAGACATGTGATTACTGGTAGGTCTGGTAACCAGGCAGCCTTAAAATGAGAATTTCGTTGGCCTTTGTTGTTCTGAATTTTTCTTGAAGTATATGGTAGTGGTAGCCTACTTCCACTTAGCCTGCCTCAAATAAAATTTCGCTGTGATGGCAGAACAGTTTCCATTAATTTTTGAAAAACTTTGTTTTGCAAGTCAGTTTGGGCAAGATTCCATTCTGTGTCTTTTTTTTTTTGTATTGCCGTGCAGAAAAATTGCAGCTGCTGGAAGATGTCTGGATAATGTTCTGTATACCGTTATGGTAACTGTACTTTTTCAATAAATGAACCTAGTATTTTATAGGTTCAAAGAGACACAAAATCTCATTTTTATTAATTCCACTGGTAGTCTGTATTGATCAAATAGAAATAGAGGCCTGCCTCTAATTCTGGCCTCCTTCCAATAATGACCTGGACCAAGATGTACCTGAGTGATATAAAGGCCCTGTCCCATATTAGAGGATTTATGGTAAACCAAGAGGTGACAGGTAGTGGATAGGTGTTGAATCCGGAAGGGCATACAAGTTTTTGACTGCTGTGGCGGAGTCAATGTTAACCCTGTGGCCGTGCACTGGGGAAAAACTGGATTTGTTCACAAGTGGTTCATCTGGCTGGAATAAGTTGGACTAAGTTTATACGCAATCAACAAGCACAACGTCAGCCACTCAGGGCATTATAACTATGCAGCAACGGATCAACACTTAAATTGTGCGGTATTAAACTGGCTAATATTACCGAATATAACGTTTAATATGAAGTGCAATATATAGTCCCCGCTCTATATAGCGATTAAGCGATTTAAGGTGTATGT